TGATTGGTTTTTAAATGTATCAGATACGACTAGGAGAATTTTGCTGAAATTTAGGGTTTTGAATTCATCTAGAAGGATTAACTGTGAAGCCTAATGGCAACACACTCTGAAAGTGATTCATCAACGGATGAACAAGAAGTATAGACTAGTGTAGAGTTGTGGTTATAACCGGAATGATAATATAAGGACAGATGAAGTCATCTGCATGAGTTACGCCAGTATGAAAACAATGCCATTTTGCATCATAAACAGCTGGTTCCTATGGTAATGGATTCTGCGTCGGAGCATACTTCAGTTTTGATGTTAGTTGATTGGAGAGAATCGGTAAGAAGCCTTTCTTCGCCTATGACCTATGATTGTTATCACTCGTCAGGAAGGTGTATCTATAACCTAAAGAAAGTTGATGCCTTATAAGACAGCTTTAAATCCGATGCCCCTGTCCTAGATATTAGTACTTATCTATTTGGGTTGTAATTCTCTTCGTGTGAGACAGGGTTAGATGCACTTATTGCTGACTAGACAGCAACCAGTTTCATAATGTCTGGTTCCTGCTGGTGACAGAATTCTTTGGAATATTTTGTAGTGTGGCTACCATTCAAGGAGATTTATCAAAACGGTTCACGATGATGGATGCTAGATGTTTAGGGACAGTCGACAAGAAGTTATGAACCTAGGCTTGCTTTTCAATGTTAGTACTAGTCAACAATGCATAACTAATGGTGTGTCTTCTAGCTTTCTGGCTACATGACAAAATGATGAACAGAATTCTGTCATTACTAAGGACTAGACAAACAAATCAATGTACGTCAGTCTTAGCAATTATCGGGGTATTTGATGCATATTATTTCTTTGTTTGATTGTCCTTCAAACGTTTCAGCATTGGTGTTTAACGCGAACAACTGTGCAGGTAATACTCAGTGAGAAAAACTTTTGACGACCTGTGTGTTCTTAATTTTGGAAACGCAGGTGACTTTCTTCAGACAATGTATGTTACAACGCATATGCTTTCTTGTATTAGTTCTGAGGATACTCTTTGACAAGAACCACAAATGCGTATCAATACGTATTCCTTATTTACACTCAGATTTTATTAATTATACATTAATCGGCCGCTTGACGGTAATTCGTGTGGGCGTTGAGTCTTTACTGTTGGTTGCAATCTGTTCTTAACGTTTGAAATGTGGACATTAATTTAGGTGGTATGGTATCGTGGTTGAATTAAATTACTATCAGACACCAGCAGTGAAACTACAGGAGGGTTTGATAAGCCAAAATTTTGGAATAGTTACCATTCATCAGTTAGGAATGCATTTAATCTTGAGAAAACTTCTATTCTTTACGTAAGATGATCAATTAGCAAATGATTTACAAATTGTACAGTGCATGATGACATTTCTAACAGCTGTGTAGTTTTTCAACTGCCATACAACTGTGGTATCAACAGGGATTCCTTTGATAACCATTTGCCAGCCAGTGTCACAAAATGTTATCACTGACACAAGCCAGCTAACCAGATTCAAGTAACCTGAATTAATTTGGTTCTGTTCGCTGCATTTGTCTAGGTACATTGCTGATGAGCTGTCCCGAAAGAGCGAAATGGCTGTCTGGTGTTTAGATCACTCCAATCTATAAGTGGGGATGGTCCAACCTTGAAGTTACTGAAGTCTACATCTGATGCATTCCACCAGATTTTAGATTCACATTTGATTCTTTAAACATTAGTTTAACATCAGTAGCATTTGCGCCTAAGCCGCTTTTTGTACAATACACATACTGCGTAAAGGAGTACAAGCAGTTTTACTGGACTTCTCATCGATGAGAGGTTAGGTACTTATATTTTTTTTCAAAATCTGTCACTTAGAAAAGAAATTTTCTAGTTGACATTATCGTCGTCATGGTAACGAATAGTCTACTCAGCCAATTTTTTAACTTATTGACTTGAGTAGTATTCCAGAGTAGTTTTTATTTTTCATCATAGCGCATAAAGTTTTCAACGAAGTAATACTTTTCACAACATAGTTTCATTGAACTGCAGACATAAATTAGAGAGTTGTAAAGTTTGAACTCCGTTAAAGGTATTTTTCTGTCCTCATGGTCAGAAGAAATCTTATGCAGCAGAGTGCCATCATACAGTTCCAACTGGCTGTCGACACGTTTTGTATAGTTCTGCTTGCCGCTTCGACTGAAGTAGTGGTATGAGCTGCTTGAGTATAGAAGAAAATAAAACAGGAGGAAAATGTAGGAAGTGTATTTGATGTTAGATGGTATAAGAAATAAACTGAGAGTATCCATTTTAGCGGATGACAATAATTCACATCTTGTGATGATTGAGAAGGTAATGGAGCAACTTCTTCTTTTCATCACGGAGTGACATCACCTGAAGAATTACTGAAAACCCGGGAGCACTAGACAGTTGTTTTGTCCTAGGACGGGGAGTCTCAACACTGCGAACTCACGACCCTTACAGGAGTCGGGCCCAGGAACTTCGGGGCCCGTGGTTAATACGTTGCCGTTGAGCAAATGCGTTGGGATTCGACGTTCCACAGATTCCTACTTTTGTCTGTTTGCGACACAGCACCACTTCATCTAATACCATCGTTGACTTTTTGTCCATACGTATGAATTCACGAAATTTCATCTTGAATCAAACTCAAATCAATAAATCTTCAGAAACCTCCATAGTGAATTGCTTTCTGGGTCTCATTAGTGAATGATTCTCTTCGGGACAAGATTATCCGTAGTTCTAATGGGAAGTAGGGACCGCTGGGGCAAACTAAGTTAGATGTGAGGATAAATACTCAACAACGGCACTGAATGGAGGTCATGCTAAATCGTAAACTGACAGAACTAGGAGAATTTGTATCGATTTATTCTGACCAAGAAACTTCGTGGTGGCATACTCACCACAAAACCTGAAGGTCTGCTCTCTATTCCTGGTGGTTGGGCTCTTCCGTGCTCAGTACTGAGGAGCGCCATAATAGGACGAAACAGCTGTCTAGTGATCCCAGGTTTTCAACGAGATGTCAGTCGATAATGAATGCCAACTGGGAAAGAAGCTTGAATTTGCGTGTTTCACGACGGTTGATTGATGGTAGACATACATTCAACATTGGTCAGTATAACCTTCGATAGCTTTAAGTATGTGATTGCTTTGAAAAAAGAGTCCATGTCCAATGAAGAACAAACAAAGTATGGAAAACAGATGGGTATTCAGCAACTATTCCTTTCTAAATATCGAAGTACTGGGGTAAGACACAATTTTGTTACTCCATTCTACCTGCATTTTAGTATTCTGTGTAGGAAAACGTCTTTCACATATATGTTGCGTCGGAAAAAATCGAAATGTTCTCAGCCACCTTCTGCAATCCGGTATCTATTGTGTGGGGCTAAGGACACAACCAAGCTGCTAAAACCTGGGGAGGTGGGGCTGGGTTCGGACCCGTGACCCATTGATTGAAGTCCAAAGGGAAAGTTCAATGAGACACAGGTCACATATAAGTTGTCTGGAGGTAATAAACCACGTTTCAGTTGCTATTTAGACTAGTAACCATGCTTTTGGACAGAGTTATCTAGAATATTCCTTCATAGGCTCTGCTGAAATGAATCCTCATCATTTGCATATATCTCAATAGAACAAAAATTTTGATTTAAGTGTTCTCTGAGTTGGAAACTAACTAGATGGAGAACTCTCACGGAGACATCAGTCGACTACTATTTTGTATGTCTTTATACGAGTGGTAGTGAAAAGGATTTACTGCCGATCAGCTGACTGATTGGCTTGTTCTGCTGGCTTTGACTGAGAATGAAGGACAGAAATAGATTCATAACGAAAGCTTGAATACTATTAAGATATTTCTAGCAAAAACTTTTGCCGAATTTCAAAATACTTCTAATTGATAGCACCTTCCATTCACGCAAACTTCAGTATGGGATGATAGAGAATATTTGTATCTGGTGTTTTGTTCTCTAAGTTGTCATTGTAGACAATATCATCACATCACCACAAAGAAGTGAGTTGCAGAGGTTTTCTCTACAAGTGCTTTAGTAACCTGTTCTGATCACCGTATGTGTCGTTTCTGACAAAGTCTTGTCATGGTCTTCATATTTACTTCGATTGGTTGTCCTGCTGACATCAACCGTGAACTTCTTGTTTTCTCTTGTTGATTGGTAGATTGAGTCAATGTCAATATGTCTGCTGATGGCTGGCTGACTGACTTGAATACCGAGTGAATACAGCTTCTCTGATATTCTTTTTACTTTCTCTATCCAGGGTTTCCTAATTTTTACTCTGTTGTATACAATAGCGAAAGAAGACAAACAAAACATTATTTACGAAATAAAATCTAGAAACTCCAAAACAACACTACGTCAGACACAGTGGTCGCCCAATCTGTTCGTATCCATCTGCATGAACATCAGCTAGCAGTGAAGGGTCACGACATAGCTTCACTCAGATCAATACACACAGACAATTAGATACATGAATTCGACCGAAAAATTGGGGAAATCCTGCATAGAGGAAGTAAAAAGAATATCAGAGAAGCTGTATTCACTCGGTATTCAAGTCAGTCAGCCAGCCATCAGCAGACATATTGACATTGACTCAATCTACCAATCAACAAGAGAAAACAAGAAGTTCACGGTTGATGTCAGCAGGACAACCAATCGAAGTAAATATGAAGACCATGACAAGACTTTGTCAGAAACGACACATACGGTGATCAGAACAGGTTACTAAAGCACTTGTAGAGAAAACCTCTGCAACTCACTTCTTTGTGGTGATGTGATGATATTGTCTACAATGACAATGGAAACTTCATTATTTAAGCATCCAACTCAGAGAAGACAATGCCATGAAAATGTCAGTGTTTTGTGTTTGTGTTTATCGCGAAAGTTTGTTGTTCAACATTCCTAATATCCAATCTCCTTTTTATTATTTCCATAGGATTACACCATTATTCTAATTTGAACTTTTTAACTATTGACGTTTATGGGAGAAAATGCCTTCACCTACAACACAAATAGGTAAGTCAGTTAACAAACTACTTATTTTATTTTGAGTAATATGCACTCCAAATGAGCCACAACAACAATAAAATTGGAAATAATTAGACCTACGTAGGTGAGTTAACCTTATTTCTATGTGTGTCACATAGCGAATATATCCTTTGTGGTCAAAATCATAGGTAAAATAAGATTTGTAGTATCCTACCAATGACTTGTAAATAGGACAAAACTCAAAGGTATACCTATGCGATATCATATACTCTACGGAGTGAAGGATGATTTTTCCGTATCCTTCGTGTAGTATGGTAGTAACTCTACGGCGATGAGTAGCATGTGCTACTGACTAACATTATTAGTCTGTGACTACTTATATGAATAACTACTATATACCGTCTGTTTCATCACATCACCGTCGTGGAGTCCAATAGATCACTAACTTTAGTCTGAGTACCATGGCTTCTGTTAGAAATACCAATGAGATGACGTAAATAGGTTACACACAGCTGTATCATTTTTACTACGGACTAAGAGATCCTCGGAAAAAATCTCGTTGACTAAAGGCTGAAAAGCTGTGACTACACCTTCTGTCTGTCGTGTTTGGCACTTTCTTTGCCATAACTTAGAGGTTTCAGGTTGGTATTATTCATGAACTAGCATCAGCTGGAGAAATATTGGAGACGGAAAAACACTGAAAATCAGTTGTTTCATCTTTGAGTGGAACTCAGCAGCGCACATCCACGATCCCGCCCTAGCAGGGGTTGAACCTGGGACCTTCGGGTCCTTGTTTGGGTCCCACCGGTTCACATTTCCTACTTCTGTCAGTTCGTGATGTAGCATGACCTCCATTCAATGCAGTCGATGAGTATTTAACTTTACACCATAGTAATATTGTCCCAGCAGTCACAACTTTTAGTTAGAAATTCAGGAATCACCTCTCAAAGTCAGTCATCCATTATCAGTGGATGAATTTAATTTGGAGATTGTAGGAATTTATTTATTGGTTTCACTGCACACTGCCATGGAACCCCATACTGGGACGAAACAGCAATCTAGTGCTCCCAGGTTCAGCCAACTGAAACTCACTTTTTTATCACCTGCGAAATTTTCCAGTCTGTTTACCAGTTTCTTCTTTTCATCATCTGGTATGACCAGCACACAATGATGCATTATTATCTACTGGATGACGCTTCGAGCAGAATTTATTGCTCACAATCATATCAAAATAATCATACGAACTTGAAAGTTCACTTTTTATATAGTCCAGCAGTTCGCCATTCTTCCATTTTAGTTGTAATAAAGCCTGTCAGATATCTGCAAGATGTGATGATCAATCGTTTCTGTGTTAGGTGTCTACTCGATGAACAAAGATTCTTTGATCAATCTCTGCATCCATCTATCTGTATTGGATTATAGAATTGTCATCTTGTCCCATCCACTATATGGTGTGATTATAGAGCATTGGATGCAGAGCGATGGCCGAATACTTCTCTGTGGTATTTTTTGTTGGAATCGGAGAGGCGAAATGACGCCAGTTGGTGAAAGCCTTCAGGAAGCAAATTGGCCAAAGTGTCTGTGCTTCTCTCGATGAAAGCGAAAATAAACCAGGGAACATGGAATGTCCGCACCATGTATGAACCCAGCAAGGCAGCCCAGATTGGGTAGGAGATGCGAAGGTATTGCACTGAACTGATAGGAATTCGCAAAAGCAGATGAATTGCAAGTGGAATCTCCATTTATTTGGAAGGAAGATAAGGAATGGATCTCGACGGATCTCCACATGGAAGCGGATAGAGGAGAGGAGAAGCACTGACTTGACGTCGGTGTTGAATATCCGCATCTTGTTCCACATGCTGAGTGGAGTGCAGTCCATCTCCACACTGGTTTCAGGCTAATGGACGCCTGTCTTGCTTTTCCGATCCTGGCTGGCTTCGACGTCCTAGTCTGTGCCACCGCCGCCTGTAGTTGAAACACTGCTTCCTAGATAGGTGAAGGAGGCTACTTTCTCTAAGTTTCTCCCGTTCATGGTAATTGGAGTTTGTTGTTGTTGTCGGAGTTGTTGGTTGGGTATCTTCATCACCTCTGTCTTCTCTATATTCACCTGAAGTACCGTCTTCGCTGCCTCACCTCTTCTGTCAGCTCGTTAGTTTTCACCTGTGCATCTTCAAGTTTGTGCGACATTAGACACAAATAGTCATCGGCGAAATCCAAACCTTCTAGGTTCTTTTCCGCAGTCCAGCGTATCCCCCTCCTCTCGATCCTCACTGTTTGTTGCATGATCCAGTCCCGTCCACTACAATCAGGAATATCATGGGTGATAGTAGGTGGCAGCCTTGTCTTACTCCTGCCTGTCTTCACCTCAAACGCGTCACTGAGCTTGCCACTGTGAATTACTTGGCATGTGGCGTCTTCATGTAGTTGTTGGAGGAGGCTGATAAAGGCTTGTGGTATTTCGTAGTGTTGAAGCAACTGCCAAATTACTTCTAGGTCGACGCTGTCGAAGGCCTTTTCAAAGTCGATGAAATTGAGGTAGAGAGTTGGCTACCATTCTATACTCTGTTCTATGGTGATGCGTAGTGTAGTGTTGCAATTTGATCCACACATAATTTGTACTTCCTCAATCCGGCCAGCCTGTTCCGGTCGTTACTTTGAATCCAGCGCATTGTTTAGTCTCTCCGGGATGATGTGGTATAATATTTTGTTTGTTTTGTGTGGACAAGAGCGTGATTCCGCGTCAGTTCTTGCAAACACTTAGGTCTCCCTTCTTCGGAAGTTTGACAAGGTAACCCTCCTTCCAATTGCCAGATACCTCCCCTTCCTTCCAAACCTTCTGCAATAGTAATTGTGAGCATGTCCACTGTTGTCCTCGCGTCTGTTTTCAGTGCTTCTGGCGGGATTCCATCTGGTTCTGTTGCTTTCCTGCGTTTCAGTAGTCTTATGGTGTGTAGGACTTAGACTTTTGTCAGGGGGCCTGTGCTCACTTGTAGTTCTGTGGCTGGGCTGCAGGTGGTATTTCTGGACGAAGTGCAGGTAGTGGTGGTGGTGATGGTCGATCCAAGAGCTTCTTGAAGTAATCGGCCCATCGTTTCCTTTGTTTCTCCTCTTTGGTAACTGAATTTCCTCCATCATCCTTTATTGGTTTCATCTGTGTTGACCTCTTCCTTCCCAGATAGTAACCTGGTTATTTGATACAATGTTGTCAGGTCTCTGTCTCTCCTACCTGCAGCCTGTTCTGCTTCACTTGCCAGTGTGTTGTGGAAGTGTCTTTTGTCTTTGCGCGAACCCTTCTTCACTTCTTTCTCCAGTGTAGTGTATTACACGTTGTACTCAGTTCCTCTTCTCATTGTTCATCCTTGCACTGGTTTATCTTCTACTTCACCATCCTCCTCACCTCTATCAGCTTCCATGTGGAGATCCGTCGAGATCCGTTCCTTATCTTCTTTCTTCTTCCTTCCTAGTACGGTTATGCAGGTCTCTTTCCATATAGCTTTCAAAGAGTTCCAGTGTTCATCCACACAGGTTTCTTCAGGGATGTTGCTCGATATCTCCCATTTTGTCTTGACGGTTGACGTGAAGATGTCGCTTGTAGTTTCGTCCTTCAGTTTCCGGGTGTTGAACTTGAACTGTGGTCTGTCACCAACTTCTTTGAGGGCTTTCAACTTGCTTTTGAAGGTTTGTTGCCCTAGATAGTGGTCTGAACCACATACATCTGCTCCTCTTCCTGACCTTGTGTCAAGTAGGCTGTGTCTCAACTTCAGATTGAGATGAAGTCGATCTGATTTTTAGTGTAGTGTGTCAAGGTGTCTGGTGAAGTCCATGTCGCTTTGTGGATATCCTTGTGCTTGAACACAGTGCCTGACTCCAATCACCAAATCGTTGAATGCACTGAATTCTGCAAACAATTCTCCACTCTCGTTCATTTCACCGAGCGCTTCTCGACCCATGTTTAGTTCTCTCCCTGTGTTGTCCCCTCCCAGTTTGGCATTCATGTCACCCCATCCATTTGAATTTTGATGTCGCCAACTGAGGTGGTGTCTTGTCCATTACTGATTGCAGTTGTCTGTAAAATTCCTCCTTCTTCTTTTCATCTGCATTATTTGTAGGTGCGTAGCGTAGCATTGAATGATTGTGACTTTCCTTCTTTTTGAGTTGAGTCTTGCTGTCATGATCCTGATCCTGCAGGAGGAGATTGGTTCCCACTGCATGAGGGCCCTCGATGCTGTTGGGGACATCATGATAGCCACTCGAAAACTCAATGTACTCGTGGTTGTCGTCTGGGTGACAATATCAGAGTAGATTATTGACTCCTCTCCAGTTGACAGTTTGGAGAGTCCACTCCCATTCCATCTGCTTTCGCAAATTCCAAGCACTTCAGTGTGATACCTCTTCATCTCGTTTGCAATCTGTGCTGCTTTGCTGGGTTCAAACATGGTGCGGACATTCCATGTCCCCACGTTTACTTTCGCTTTCATCGAGAGAAGCACAGACACTTTGGCCAATTTGCTTCCTGAAGGCTTTCACCAACTGGCGTCATTTCGCCTCTCCGATTCCAGCGAGGAATAATTTTGTTTGTGCTTTGAAGTTTGTTTAACGGTTAGATTTGTTTCACGGGGTAGGGATGTTAGCCGTATATCCAACCGTCCTTCTTTACCCTGGCTTAGGACAGGCTAATAACTGGTGAACTAGTTAACCAGGCGGGGTTCTCTTGCTTGTTGCGTACTGCTAAATAGTATGATACTAGGACGAAACTATCTCAAAAATACCAAGGCCGTATAACAATTAATATGACTGAAAAATAGTCTTTTGACGAAACTGATTTCAACATGCACCATGGCATGAACCTGGCCTCTGGATCTGAATTTCCTGGCCTTTATTATGTATCTCCAATGAGTCTCAAATGACGACTTCATTTTGCTTATCATCTTGAGATCTGTACTAATAGCATTGTGACTGGCGTTCTTGTGCACCACAACTGGCGCTGAAAAACCCAATGGATTGTGATTTCGAGAGTCAGAGGGCTTAACGTTATGGTCGGTGAGTTAGAAGATCCAAGATACCCAGTTACAAGTTCTCTTCGAGGTCTTGTTAACTGCCTAATCTTTCTGCGGAACATACAGCCATCTGCAAACTACCGTCCTCAACTTCGGTTTAATTACGGCTTCCAGAATTTTCACATAGCGGTCTGAATCGAGCCTTAAACCCTCGTCTAAGATAGTTAGTGGAAAAGCATCATAACCATCGCATTTCAGAAGAACTTCTTCCTCATAACACGTGTTGCTTAATTTGGGTTTTCAGTAGTTCTGAGCAGGAGAGGAGCTAGAATGCTTGGAAATCAGAAGGATGTCTTAGTTTGCTCTAAAGTTTTCTCGTCTATGTCAGTGTGCTCTAACTCAAGCATTTCTTCTACCAAGTTGCTCTGTGTTCCTCTTTCAAGAATCATACTAGGGGTCCTCTTCAACGAGTACTTCTTGGAAAAAGCTGCAAGACTATTTTCAGTAGAATAGTTCACCTCCTGTCACTGTCCTATGAATTTCTCTTACTGCTGACGACTGAATAATGTTCCCTTCAACAAGGTGCAGCTCAGGAGTCATTTCCAGTCTGATCGTTCCCGCTATGCTCGAAGAGCATTGAGCAACTACCATGGAGATATCACACGAAGGTCATCTTTGTCTACGCTTATGATGGCCTTTGATTATCTATTTTAGTTAGCCCTCCCATAATTTGTTGCACAATTCGATGCTGTCCCAAAAACTAGAATATTACATCTGAAACTAGAAATAATCTTTAAAAAATTTGAAATGATACTAGATTTTATAAAATTTTTCCCAAATATCCTGTTTAATGTGTACAGTTTTTCAGTTGGTCTCACTTTTTAACCTGTCATTTGATCATCAACAACAAATATTTCTGTGAAAAACAAAATAACCTAAAAAATGAAAGCGGATATTGGTACATCCTTGACTAATGGCAGTGATATTGAACAATTGAAAAAGCATTTACCTCATGTGGATTTTGAAACTGGCTTAAGACATCGCAGTGAGTGAACTGTATGCATTCAGTCCAGCATTATTTGCATGTGTGTCCAAGTATATACATGAATATATACCTACTTATAGTCATTCATACTAACGTGTAAATGCTTGCAGTTATCCAATTTTTCGTCTAAAAAATATGCAATTATTTATGCCCGCGAATCCTGTTTGAATTTTAAACAACAGCTGCATGAATGGTGAACTTTACTAATCACTTATGATATGAACTTGTTTACATTTTATTTCCTCCTGTTCTATCAAAACAATATTGATTTCAAACAATCATAATAACTAATGGGAATAGTTGGGTTTAAAGAGATAGTCTATGCACTTATGAATGCTGATAGGATGAAATTAACTACGACCATGACAATGTACCAATCGAGTGCATTTGGGTTCTCCTAGGAAAAATCTGTCACCCCTTTTCACTAAGTTGTACTCTCAGCTACTTTTGTTAGGAAAACATATAAACGATAAACTTCTGATAAGAATCTTCCTGCAGAAGATCTGTGCAGAATGTTTGTAAAAGTCATTGAAAAGAACAGTTTGCTATTTTTAATGTTCATTTTGTCCAAGTAGGAAGAGAAATTTATACACCCACTTTCCTCAAGGATCAGCTAGTGTGTACAGAGGACACTGTTGACGAAGAACTGTTGCAGAAAATGGTCAAAGCCAAAAAATGCAACTGAACGAACAAAGTCAGAGTAGAGAGAGATTCTTTTACTTAGTCCTGAATTTAAAAATCAGATTGCTATAGATATCTTAAAGCAAAGACTGCCAAGATCTTTAGGTAGAACATACTTCGTTGCTAAGCTTTTAGTCCTTTTCTCTTGCAAGAAACATTTTGGTTAGTATGTGCTACACTGAACCACATCAGTGTGCGTCTACTAGTTAACTTCCTGTTACAGAGCTGAGCACATTGACCACACCATGTGCCTGCTTGTAAAACGTGCTCCTCAGCACTTCCTGGTCTGGTTAGCTAGTGAAGAACGGAGATGCACTTTCAGCTCGGTAACAGAATGCCTTGTAAACTCAGGTCACTCAGCTCCTTTTGAGAGCAAATTCAAAATCCTTTACATGGTTTGATCAAGCCACTCGAGGGGAGTCAGATGGAGGCGTTTGGGTATTGCTGAAGCGCCGGACATCCAAAAGTTCATACCAACTTTACGTGTCCAGTTGAAAGTACATTCAACCTTTCTCCTTGCCATGGCTGTCATAAAGCTTTGACCTTCTTAGATAAATCCTGTACTACGTAATCATGTTTAATTATTTTCTTAGTCCCTTGTTTATTTTCCTACTCTAAACCCTCATTTGTAATATCTAACTTCCTTCCGTCTTTCACTGTATTCCAACTCCTGGTCAAAAACAATTCTGGAATTTTATGCTCACTGTAAAGCTTAGTAAATGACTTCGTTGTAAAGAAAATTTTCGCTTCACTGAAACTATCCTTCTGTTTTTCCAGTAGGAATAGTTTGTAAATATTTTGCGTTGATTCTTACAAAAACTCATCACTTTTATAGAAGTAATAATGCTTTGCGATGAGATTGTGCAAAGCACTAATGAGAAGTCATGACCGATGGGGCGAAACAATTTGAGTGGATGAAGTTCGTAAGGAACCTGAAGGTTCCAGGGTCAGTCTATTACTGGGTTCTGGGTTCGCTATGCTTAGGCGTCCCCTCCTAGGACAAAACAGTTGATTAGGACTTCTCGTTAGAACTTTGATAAATCTCATCAAAAAATCCTCACAAACCTCCAAACTGACTTATTATCTAGGGCTGACTAGTGATTCTCCGAAGTCCTAATGAATAGTCGTGATCGGTGGGGTAAATCAAGTCAAACATGAGGATAGTTACTCAGTGATGGCATTGGATAGAAGTTGTGTTATATGGGGAACTGAATGTTGTACGAAAGCATGGACCACTGGATTGTGACCCAGAGGCTCAAGTAACTTGTGGGTTATGCGTTCAATCCCCATCAGTGTCGCGGGTGTGCACTGATTAGGATTCTCATAATAGGAAGATACTACTTTGCAGTGCACCTTGGTTTTCAAAAATTATCTAAGTGATGTCAGTTCGTGATGAATGCCAACTTTAAATCAATGAAAACCTTGTAAGCATCAAAACTGAACAAGTCTCAGTTTTACTTTTAGGTGGATATCAAGAATCATGAGTTCATGCTCAATACATGGCACCAGTTTATGAAGTCTTTGACTGTTGGTCTCAGTTGTGTAGGCAGGTGAAGACTGCAGTCCGTTCCATTATGTTATACCACTGAGAGACATGGTAGTTAAGCGCAGAAGATATGAAGCGATTACTGGCTGAACGACAAATAATGGCCAGCATATGTTGCACATGCCAAGCCATCACCTGCCTCGACATGCAGGGCTATCAAAAGGTGAATTGTTTTGGAAGAAGACTCAGTATGACGAGATAAGACTTGACACCAGTCTATGAAGTCTTTAAGTGTTAGTCTCATTCTTGTAGGGTGGTCTGGACCACCTGGTTAGGGTCTCCGAGATGATAGAAATCAGTGGTTGGGGACCTTTGATGAAATGGCTCGAAATCAGTCAAGGTGACACACGCTTGTTCATTGTTTTAGGTTTTCTAAAGCTTGAATATTTTTACCAACATTAGATCTCAAATTCTTTCTCCTCTGAAACACCCCTGCCTGCTTGATATGACTCTTTCCCCACTCATATGTTCTTTGCATCCTGATGTGGATTGTGGAAAGTTGAGCCGATGAAATTCTATATAAAGTGATATGCTGATTCTTTCTGTCTCTCCACCCAAATGATCATCAGCCCGTACTGTTCCAAATCAAACAATGGATGGGCAGGTATACAGTTCAGTATAGAACTTTGTGACGAAGTGTGTATCAGTGCGATCTATCCTATTTCCAAAAAGTACACTGTGACGAAGTGGAGGGAAACAAAATCATATTCATACAAGATAAAACGAAATTGAACGAAAGAGAATAATTACGTTAAAGCAAATAAAATGTGTATAATATTGAAGATGAATAGCAATGAATACATCCGCACCACTGCGATTGATTTTGACCTAGGCCACTGGTAGCCATCAAGTGTGGGTTTCTAACACCACGATAATCACGACCAGCCAGCCATCCAACTCACACTTCGCTATAGAGTTTAAGCTGACCTACAGCCTATCTCAACCGAATCCTACTTTTGCTGACATTCGGCTTTGAGACAGACGGTAGTTAGCATACGAACAATGTTCCGAGCCAGCTCAGTTTCTACATGTTACCCGTGTAAATGACAGGTTCACCCTCCGTGTTTAAACTTTTCAGACTTTCCAAAACAACCTCGACCACGCCGTTCCGTTAGACACCTTCTGTACTTCGAAGACACATAGGATTAAAACAGGTACAATCTCCTAATTTCATCCCTTTCCAGTGATTATGTCACATAGCAATACAACAAAAGGAGAAGAAACCGCTACGCAACATAGGCACTTATAATCACTAATTGAGTACCTGAAGGACACCATTACCAAATCGGGATTTAGCATTCACACCGAGGCTTCATCAGCCACCACTCCATCAGAGTTGGTTTCAGTTTTGACAAAATGCTTATGGATTGCTTCAGCCTTCTATTTTCTGTTCACTCTATGCTGAAGTGGGTTAAACAAGGGTCATTTTTCTTTTGTACTTGACTTCAGCATTAGGTGGCACGGGTTCGAACTGGGGACGTGACATTAATTCTGTTGAGGTTGCAGATAAACCATGATGATGAGTGCTAACAAGCAGGAAAGTCAAGTGGAGTACCACTTTCTTCCAATTGTCACCATCTAACTAACAAATTTTCATGGTTTTTTCCCTTCTGAACACAATCTGAGAATTGCCGCTTAAATTTGTTAAAGTTGTCGCAAGTGGTAAGCATGATGGCCGTCTCAGTTATGCAGTGCTTGCAATCACCTCTCACAGAGACAGGGGGAAGTCAACAACATTAGCTTACAAAATGACATCTTTGTGTTTACTTCGGTAACACATGCACATATGTTTGAAAATCAGCGTTCGTAAACTGTTCAATATCCAATGGTCATAAATAGACATTGAACTTTGGTGTCGTTTATTTAGGAGGCATAGTTACCGTTGGTGTCACAGATACTTGTTCTACAGACTCATTTCTTAAATAACAGTTTAACAGTTTGTCAGTATCTCACCACGAAACATATAAATAATAGAGAAATAAAGGATAATCGATTTACATTCCGTCCAGACCAATTAGCTCATTTCATTGGTCATTTCTGTATGGCATATTTCATTTTCACGAGTTGATGTGTTTTATCTACCTTTCATCTGTTTTTCTTTCAAGTCTTCCTCTCCTACTTATTCAGTCTAGAATTTCTTTCTCATCCCTGTTTTTAAACAAGATTGATAAAATATCATTTTATTACTCACCCTAGTTTTTTCTCAACCCACCCCGTATCATTTTGAATCTCGTATTTTGTTACTCCACAATTACTGAATTTTACTGTTGATTAAATGGGTTAATGAATAAAACTAGTGAATGTCTACGTTGAGTTTATAAATCAGTAATTCATCCGCTGCCAGTGTTACGGTACTATTATAGCGCCCACTCAGAATTCACTCTACGCCGGGCAAAGTCATCGTGGAGGCGTATCATCCTGCTACTGTTCATATTAGTGAACTTCATCTCTACGTTAAGGTCAGCGGTAGACATCCGATAGAGACAATTTTAGTGTACTTCTTTTGATGAGGAGACCAATATAAAAAGAAATGACTTTAACAGTAATATTCCATAATTTGTTGTAATGCCCGTTGTATTGAAGACCGTGTATCTTAGAAAGTACATGTCAGCCAATTCTCTCTCTTTCCCTTTCTGTTTCACTCTCAGTTGGTTAATCTCATTAATAATTTATGCTTTCTGAACATTTAATAGAAAAGAACAATCTCTGCATGCTGAATAGTATTATATATATGTCAAAATGTTTTCTGTTGCAAGTGATAGTTTAGTTTTGC